TGCTGTTAAATCGCCCTTGAAAGAAGGAAAGACGTTTGCAACGGTTATTGAGGAGCGTCCGTCCGGCCCGCGCCGGATTCGTGCCGAACGCGTGAGAAGCCGGGATCGAATCTTTCCCACGGCCATCAGCTCATATGCCCGGACTCCTTCAGGAACACCTGGTTTCCTGGACAGCGCGGCTCTTGTTTTATGTTTGTTCGTCTGCGCTTACCTACTTTGACCTCAATCTGTTCTGCATTGTGCATTGTTCAACAAGGTGTTCTTGTACTTTTTAAATTAAATTTCAACACCCTGTAACGAAGCGCAATTATTTAGCAAACCAGCAAAATAATGCCCCGTTCTCATGAAACACCTTGTATATGCGCGAGATTAAGTCGCGAACAAGGCGAATAGGCTGGAGTTGAACATTGGCAAGCACTTAAATGTGTGAAACATTAACGTTTACGTAGAAACGTTCTTATTGGCTGCTGAATATAGCACCGAAAGTGAGCAAAAAGAGCACTTAGCTGCATTCAGCCCGTAATTATTTTGTGATGTTCGTGACCGACAGATTTCTTCGATTTTTTGAGCGCGTTTTTCACGCAACCGAACACCGTGGGAATATCGAAATAAATCCATACTCTTCGCATGATGGAAGCACCATTAAAACAATAAACCAAGGAGGACGATGGACTAGTGAGAATTAAGCGCGTCGGCATAGTGTCTTTGGTGTAGTCGAGCAGACTTGATTCCCAAATGCAATTTGCGATTAGTTTGCCTAACTTGATTGCTTCAAAAGCCGCAAGTACCAGCATCGATAGGGCGTCTTAGTGCTTTTTAACTCAGCAGCCAAACCTTGGCATGGATGTTCAAATGCCCCAAAGAAACATTTGAGTGCGACCAAACCCGCTAGACTACGCTAAGGTGAACCGATCGTCCGTGCTTTAAAAGTAGCCGACTGTAATCACTCTAATAAGCTACCAGTTGTTAGAATGAGTAAAAAATGCGTGATGGTTTCGTCTTTTATTTGTGCCGGAATTGCCGGTCCGACGACCGCAATCCGATGCAATAAAAATCACATAAAATGACCGCCGGCGATCTTCATTGTTTCGCGAACTCGCGATTATAGAGGACATTGTGGACTCGGTTTTACTATCGGAAAAAGTATGCATATTTTTCTATTCAAACTGCATTAATCTAGATCGTCTCGATCCGCCACTGTTCAGCTCGTTTAGGTTTCTTCGCTACAATTAGTCATTATCCGATGAGCCCGAATCTAATCTAGTTCCCAGCATCTGAATCACGGCATCTTCGACGGCGGTTGAGAAAAAAACAACCGAAAAAGAAGAAAGCCGACTCACGGGCCCGATTAGTAAATCGTGGTAGGCGTGGGGCTCGTGCAGCGTGAGAATCGAGAGGAGTGAGAGGACGCGGCCGATGCCTCCTTAATAGTTGCTTCCGTTAGATGATTGAATGGTGTCCGACGACACTTAATAGGCCGGCAAATTGAGGGCACCGTTCAATGATAACGATGAATTAAATCGCTTGAATTGCCCAATGCCCATCCAGCCCTCCCTTAGTGGGCAACAGAAACAACCGCCGTCATGAGTAAAATCATTCCAAAGAGTGTTGGTGAAGCATCGAAGCCGAAGAGGACGAAAGTCTTACTGGACGCAAAGCAAAAAAAGAGTTTTTTGCTGGCTTAAATCGATATAATCGGTATATAACAATCAGGTCTTCTGCGAAACAGTTAGAAGCGGGCTTCCTCGATGGTAATAACCGGCGAAAACCCAAACGGAAATCACAAGCATTATCGCGTAATGAAGAGCATCGTGATGGCAACGAGGAAATTAATGCTCTCACCGTTATTATTTTATTGTTGCGAGAGGGCCCTCAGTTCCGGGGCCCCCTTAATTACGGCAAATTGACGCTGCATCCCGACGACGATTTGTGGCTGCACATCGATGATGATCCGCCACTAAATTATGGTCGGATTACCGCACTCGGCCCATAATGACTACAGTTTTTAACGGTATTGTGCATCTTGATTGCATCGTTATTCAAATATGTCGTTGTTTTGGAAAGGGTGTAGGACTGAGTCACTGTTTTTGTATTAGAAGTTTTTCACAGCCTTCGTCTTGGTCAATATAAGACCTGATGGTTTAAATCTAACACCCTGCTTTACCTCTGAAGCAAAAATGCTGGCCGAAGGAAACATAAGTCCGTTTCTGAAAAAGGCGTACACTCATCACTTACATTATAAAATCGTGTCTTCTTCATTGTTCGTTCCAAATTAATTGCTTTTTGCGGTTTTATTCAGAACACGATTTATTACTGCGCAATTGGAACTGACACTGGATCCTAATAAAGCCTACAAATATGTTGGACACAGCCAGAGACAATGTATGAAGCAGCATGATGACGATGATCCAAAACAGCAAAAATGGCAAAAGATCCAAACGCTCTAATAATGTGTCGTGGTCAGGATCCGGCTTTCTTTTCGTTTTGCGTTTGGGCGTTTTCACTTCTTTCACCCCCAAGCTCTCCACTGGAACAACAGTTAACGTTTGGTGCATTTTTTGATTTGGAGATTTTGCCTGTTTTTGACAACTATGGCAAGTGACGCCCTGTGAGGAGATAATTTCAATTTAATTGATAATCGCATTAAGTAATGATTTTTTCGATTTTGTTCCTTTTCCGCTCGGTAATATCCGCGCTCAACGCTGAAATACTCGGAAATTCTGATTATTCCGTTGCACTTCCGTCGAACAGCTCCGCAATCAAAATTCGTTTCTCCTCATTATAAATTATGATGGCTTAGCAGACAAAAAAGGTTTCTCACGCTTCAAACAGATAGTGCGGAATAATCATTAAAAAACAAAAATTCGACGTTTTCAGTCCGATCAAGTTGTTAATCGAGTTTTTAATTTATGCTTCGGCCGACCAGATTTTCCTCGGTTTGTCTTACATACATAGTAATAAGCGCTTGGAAGGCATTGATCAAAGTATGTGCAATAAATTGGCCATTGCTGGCTTAATTCAGATTTTCCTGTCTGCAAATTTAGCGATTTTTACCTTGAAATTGCCAAGAAGTAGAAACTGGTTTTTCAACACCAAAAAAATTGGCCAAATCGAACGAAATGCAACGATGTAGTTTGATTTTTCGGCAGAATGAATTCGATAACAACCAGAAAGCCAGTGGCTGGCAAATATCTTCTTCGTATGAGTGTCTTCCCTAATAGTTCCTGAGGAACTTATGTAGGCTTTCTCTTTTCTTTTATTTTTTCAAAAATCGACCTTCAAATTTTGGGCAAAAATCAAAATTTCACATGCAAGTTTTTTGAGCTCAATCGATTCCTTTCGACGTAAGAAGGTCGCAAATATGCATTTATAAAGTGTTTGCGTCAATAATAAGGAAGAACTCGTCGGCTAAAGATCGTGAACGCTCAAAAACGCTTAACATGTGCCGCAAAAGTCTGTTATTTCGGATCTGAAACTTCTGCCATGTTTTTCAATGAGTTCGATTCATTCCTGGCGTCCGTGAGCTGAAAATGATGTAAAATTTAAGACATTCTGAGAAAATTAGCATTTTTCCCAAAAATCGCCCCCACCCTTGGAMAAATTTYGGSCAAAAATCRAAATTTCACATGCSAGTTTTTTKAGCTCAATCGATTCCTTTCGACGTAAGAAGGTCGCAAATATGCATTTATAAAGTGTTTGGGTCAATAATAAGGAAGAAATCGTCKGCTAAAGATCGYGATCTCCGAGTGGCTCAAGTTCCTGAGCAAATAATTCCTGAAAATTTCCTGATAATCACTGATCGAGAAARTCRAAACTTTCTGAACTGGTAGATCAGACTTTGCCTTATCAAATGCYATGCAAAAGCTCGGTCGACTCGTACACTTTGTTAATCCCTGAAYAAAYAGATGCCAAACTCCGGCCTGCAAAAATGATCTCRTAAACCAAACGCAAAATTGTCAAAAATTGCCTGATGCTGACTGAAAATCGAAACGTTGTTGACTTATCGAAAYGACTTYGCCCTACAACGTGCATTCTAAATAACCATTTTATTTCACAAGCCACAAAGCATATGAGTGCTAACTGCCTCCTGCTGCGTCARRAAAAACGTATTTAGGGCCTCTACACTYTTYKAAAGCGTTTKGATGTTAAATTTTCATTTAAAAATTAGTTAAAAATTTCCGGTTCCAGTCGGTATTTTCTTTGTGAGATTCCTTTAGTTGATTTTGACTGGATCTGAAAAAATTCCGCATTTTGACGCACCCAAACTAA